CTGTATTGAACAACTAGCTGACTGTAGCTGCGGATGGAAAACTTAAGCGTACGACGTGTTTCTCAAGGATTTGTAAGTCAGTTCAAGGATTCACACCCATGAACCATGATTTGGTTGAACTGTTACGAAGCTTGCAAACAATCTGAAGTATCAAACTTTGGTATGTCATAGTCAGTTCTACTTACTAGCTGCTTGGTTCGAGCTTGTATCCCTACCTGTGTCATATGCAATGGAGTTAAACTTCGATATCCAGGGGCACATTTTGAGGAGCCAGCAGTTGCAAATCGGGTCTGGGGCGCAACCGCCTTCTGTTCAAGCCCGAAAACATCCCGGTCAAGATGATAGCCAACACTCCGCTCTTGAGCAATCACCGCTTGCACAGGAACACAGCAGTGCAGGTACCGCTGCAAAAAGCCGTGGCAGAGGTCGGGGTCGAGGTCGGGGGAGATCTACGAACAAGAATGGTGGTGAAGGAGAAACAAAAGCACGAAAAGCAAAGGGTACCTAGACAGCAAGTAGCATGCAGCAACTGAAAGCAATATCATTCCTTTCCAACATGTTTCCTTTCAAGACTGTAGTTCATTCATGGGCCCCACATCCATCCAAATCCCAGGAACACCAATTTCAATGAAGAGGCCTTCGGCAGCTGCTGAGGAGGTGGTGAAACCATTTTCTCCCTTAACCAACGAGGAGAAGAAACGCATTTTTGAGAACAGGTTGAAGACCGGCAGGGAGAGGGCACGTGCCCTGAAAAGGCCAGCTACTAAGTCTTCGGGGTCTTCACCTTCCAAGAGGGATGCGGGGTTTTCAGTTCCAGTAGTCATGGCCAAACCAGCGGCACAAGAAACGATGGGTACCCCTGCTGCAAGTGATGATCAGCACAGCGCAGCTATGGAGGGAGCGGAGGAGGAAACACCGTGGACAAGTGATCCCATCGTGGACCCTACTTTCAAGAAGCCAGCCACCCGCACTCCCATGAAGAAGGTTGCCAAAACCCCGAGTCCCAAGAAGCAAAGAAGCAAGAAGACCCGCAAACCAGGATCCAATTCAGCCAACTTCATTTCAGAGGAGACGAACTGCCACGGCTGGGTCATTGGAACTTTTAAGAAGGGTGGCAATGCCCCAGAAGGTACAGTGTACTACACCTACTACAAAGAAGGTGTTGGCACATTTTTTTCGAAGACGTCGGCAGCAAAGCACGGCTTCACTGACTGATATCTAGTACAAACTAGATTCGTTGCAGCGCACATGAAAAGAACCAAAGCTGCCGCAGCGAAACAACGAAAACACCAAAGGTCTTGAAAACACTATCTTTTTTGAATCTTCCTTATATATAGATGTTTTTTCCCCAAACCGTGGCAGGCGCAAAGGAAACCTCGCGTTTTGGTGGCCCAAGGTCGAGTTTTCGTTAGGTGCAAGGGATCAGAGCAGTTTTAGATCGAAATGCAGATTTCGTTTCAGGCACAGCACTTTGGACAGACGCGCTCTGATTTCGTGACAGGTGTAGTGGATCGTGACTTTGGACATGTGTCTCCTTTGCAGGTTTCGTGGCAGGCTTTGCGCTTTGTGAACCTCGAAGCGCAGATTTCATGGCAGGCACAGCGCTTTGCGAACCTCACAAAGCGCAGATTTTGGTGGCAGGCGCAGCGCTTTGTGAACCTCGAAGTGCAGATTTTATGTGGCAGGCACAGCGCTTTGCGAACCTCGAAGCGCAGACTTCGTGGCAGGCACGGCGCCTTATGAACCTCGAAGTGCAGACTTCGTGGCAGGCGCAGCACTTTGTGAACCTCGAAGTGCAGATTTTGTGGCAGGCGCAGCACTTTGTGAACCTCGAAGCGCAGACTTTGTGGCAGGCACAGCGCTTTGTGCTCTGAGATGCTCACTGTCACTCTCGCTTTCACTCACACTCACACTCGCACACGTTCACCCTCACGCGCGCACACCCTCACTCTACTCGTGGCACTCACCCTCACTCTCACTCTCGCTCACTCTCACTCGCACTCTCGGGCGCAGCGCTTTGTGAACCTCGAAGTGCAGATTTTGTGGCAGGCACAGCACTTTGTGAACCTCGAAGTCCAGATTTCCGGCCACTCTTACTCACCCTCACACTCTCTCCCACACTCTCTCACTCATTCTCACTTTCACTCTCACTCTCACGCACTCTCATTCTTCACTTTCACTCACTCTCACCCACACTCACACTCTCACTTTCACTCTCACTCACTCTTACTCGCTTTCACTCACTCTCACTCTCACCCACACTCACCCTCATTCACATTCACTCTCACACACTCTCTCTCGCCCACCCCTCACTCACTCTCGCTCTCATTCTCATTTTCACTCTCACTCTCACTTTCCCACTCACTCCTTCACTCTCTCACCCTCACTGCTCACACCTTCCTTTCACTCCCACTCACTCTCACTCACTCTCACTCACACTCTCTCACACTCTCCCACTCTCAACCTCACTCACACTCTCTCACTCTCGACTCTCAACCTCACTCACACTCACCATCACCTCTCTAGACCCCGAAGGGTCTAGATCCCTACGCTTTCTGCAGCTACACCTCTAGACCTCACACACACACACACACACACACACACTGTTTGGGGTCTCTTGCCGGGATAGTTCTTGAAAATGCACAGCTGTCGTCTCTGTAGAACTGCGGATGTCATCTCCTGTTCACCACGGGTGCAGCCTTTGCAGCGAAAGGGAAACCTTCCAACCAAAGTTTTTGTGTCTTGTGAGTCTTGTGAGTCTTGTGTTGTCGGGGCCCGCCCTCAAATCCCAAACATATTGTTCCCCAAACAGTTTACTGTTGGGGTTCTATCTGTCAACTCTGTGAGTTGGGCCCTGTGGCTGGGCTCTGGGCTGTGTGGCTGGGCTCTGTGTCCAGGCCTTGTCCTCCTCTTGTCCTCATCTTCTCCTCAACTCTGTCAACTCTGTGGCTGGGCTCTGTGCCCAGGCCTGGCTCTGTGTCCAGGCCTTGTCCTCCTCTTGTCCTCCTCTTGGCCGCGCCGGGCTCCTCCTGTTGCCCTTCTCTTGGCCGCGCCCCTGAACTCTGTCAACTCTGTGGCTGGGCTCTGTTTCCAAATCTTGTCCTCGTCTTGGCCAGACGA